AAGAGAAGAGAAGAGAAGAGAAGAGAAGAGAAGAGAAGAGAAGAGTAGCGAAGTGAAGCAAAGCAAAGCAACACAATGCAAAACAAAACTGTCTGGCCTAAAACTTACAGAACTACTCAGAAGACCAGATTGGCCCCAAATCCTCTTTTTAAGGGAAAAGAAAATTTAAAAGTAGACCCATTCTGAGAAATGATAGACCTCAGCCAGCCATCTGAGCCTCACACCTGGGCGAGCCAGATGCCATGAGAAAAAGGCCTAATTTCAAATCCCATCACAGCAAGCTCATGATAAACTTGTGTGGGCTCCAGACTGCAACTGTCTTTCATATCTTAGAAAAGCACACAGAGGCCTCTTCAGTGGTTCATCTTAGGACCTGGGGCACTCTAACAAGCAACATGTCAACACTGACCCGAAAAGGAACAAGCACGCCAGGTGACTTAGCAAATGGGAAAGGGTTGTGTAGAAGCAGGTAGCAGAAACAGAACTAGGTGCGGTGGAATTAGCCACAGTGGGAAAAAATATGCATTGTGAGGACAAACAACATGGCTAAAAGTATCTATGAGAAGAACACTGAATAAACAAAAGACTTTTAAAAATGAAAAATCAGGGCCAGAGATGTAGCTCAGCAGCATAAACACCTGCTTCGCAAGCACAAGGTCCTGAGTTCGATTCCCGGTACCCTCCCCAACAAAAAAAAGAAATGAAAAATCAATTAAAATGATGATTCTCACTTCAAAAGAATAAGACTACCAGTGTGTCTGCCTTGAGCCTGCTATCGTCACCTCCCATCTGACCAATGTAGTGAGCGAGCTTTACACTGTGGAGCAAGCCCTATGCTGGGGAGGTCCCTGAGGGTCCAGCAGGAGACACTGCTTGGGAAGGCACCACGAGCCAGTAGCTCAGTGGGTGTGGGATCATCATGGATACAGAGTTCTGACTCTGGAGGTGAGGGCACAGAGATGAGAGGAGACCCGCCGGTGACACACAGGAAGTGCAAGGGGACCCCTGGCCTGAGAGCACTGAGTGACCCATTTCCAACAAGAGGAGGCATCTTAACCATGCCTGAGAGTAAAAGCCTCAAAGGAGAACTACAGAGCCTGCAAGCAGCCCTTGTGGTCGTGCTCTGCTCCTGCTAACCACAAAGCCCACCATCACACTAGTGGGCCGGGGGTTCACCCTGCTGATCCACATGTGCTTTTCATTTAATAAACTCGAGAGAACACACAACGGTGTGGGGGGGAATTCTCAGAGCCCCAACAGAAAGGCCATGGGTCACCCTGCCTCCCACTACACACACCTGGCCTTTGTCTGAGACATGCTGAACTATAAAAAGAGGTCACTTTTACCAAAACAGTGGGGAAATCCCCGAACATTCGACCAGATGTTTACCTTGGGAGCCAACGCCTGCAGGACTCAGCTGCCTGCCCTCCAAGAGCCCAGGAAGGCAGAGGTATGAAGAGATAACAGGACAGTAAAGTGAGGTTAGAGATGTCCTCAAAGCATGTGCGGGCTCCCCAGAACAGAAAGTGGTTGATGCAGCATAACAATTCCAAGAAGCTTCCAAGGAATCCAGCTGGGGGTTCCTCAATTACTAGATGTGGCCACTCAGGAAATAGAATCCCATGTCAGCAGTGCCCCAACTGACACTATAAAGAGGCTTCAGGCAAATGAAATACAATAAAACAAGGTCAGGCAAAGCAGCAAGTAGTGAATGTTGAGATCACTCACTCTATGACATTACTTTTACTCCTGTAAGCTTCCAGAATTCCTTCACTTACGTAATTTACAAGCACTTGCAACACTTCTGACAATGTGAAGGATCAAAATATTAAAGACCGTTTCCAAATGG